GGAACATGAATCCGACACACAACGAAAACTTCGCATGAAGCCCGAGAGCCATCTGCGCTTGTGCCAGCAATCCCCCAGACTGCAACGTCTGCTCGCCGTCTGTCGTGATGTGATGTAATTAATAACTCTCTTTGCGAGCGTTCTTGCTATGAGCGCAGAAATACAGCACAGCACTGAAGCAGACAGGCGGACTTGCACAGTCAAGTTGATCTGCTCTGCTGCCAGTTGAAGTCGTGAGATGCTGCGATGGTGAAAGACCGCTCGAGGATGCTTTGCGCCACATGTTTGCAAAGGTGAGCTGCTCCCTTCAAGTGTCTGTTGCATGTTGCAATGCCACTTCATTGCTTATCCCACTTGCCGTGATGTCAGTAACGTGATTAACTCTCTTGACGAGCACGTATGCTGTGAGCTCAAGACAATACGTACTGAGTCGAGCTGCCTGGTCGGGCGTGCTGTTTTCACGTGTCGATGCGTCGTCACCCTTTGCGAACCTGGCATTGGTACTTGACTGCCTATCCTACGCCCGACTCGTAGGCCGCTGTAATGCTTGCGGTCTAACAGACGGATCTTTGTCTGAGCTCTTGGGTCGGCTTGGTCGATCATCTCGACTCGTACTGCACTGCATGGGTCACTGCCTTCCATGAAATCGAGTTTTTTTCCGGAACATGAATCCGACACACAACGAACACTTCGCATGAAGCCCGAGAGCCCTCTGCGCTTGTGCCAGCAACCGCCCAGACAACAACGTCTGTCCGCCGTCTGTCGTGATGTGATGTAATTAATTAACTCTCTTTGCGAGCGTTTGCCATGAGCGCAGAAATACAGCACAGCACTGAAGCAGACGGGTGGAATCGTTTGAGAGCTTAGGCTGCAGCGTTGAAGCTTCAGTGGTCAGGCCAATTTGAGGCTTGAAAATCCATCCATCCATCGGCACATACAGTATGTATACGGGTGCACATTCATCTACGCACATATCATTACACATACACCCACACATACAAACACACTCACACACTCTATCTGTCTCTCTCTCTCACACACACAAACATGCACCTGCGTGTGCGCACGCCCCCCCCCTCCCCACATACATACTCGCACACATACATACACACAAGTACGTACGAACGTATCTAGACAATACATACCTGTAGACACACGCACGCAGAGAGACGTATATGTGCATGCATACCTACACACAGAGAGACGCACAAGCATGCATACATTCATTCATACCACACACACATACGCATGATACACATATATGCACATAGTACAGTTATGTTCATAAATACATGTTCACCAAGTCCATTGCTGCAAAAAATACATGTACCTACATATACATGCATAGCTACATACATACACAGACATGTACATATGCCTATACTCACACTCACACACATACATAAGGACATACAGACATAGAAGCAAACAGGCATACATTCATACAGCCATACATATGCCACGTACGAGTTCCCATACATACGTTCATACATATACTCACGTACATGCATACATACAGACGCACCAAGGGCCTGCAGTCGAGCTTTGGGCTCAGCTTTGCAGCCGCCTGACAACCTGGAGGCCAGGGGGTTTTCGGCTTCACCCAGGTTCAGGGATGTGGGTTTGAGGGTTAGGGTTTGGGGCTTTGCTGGCAGTCATCAAGTCCGGTTTCAAAAGGGTTTGGGGCTTCACAGTTCGAGAATTTGCAGTGTTCAGATTCTCGGGTTCCAAGGACTTGCAAAGGTCTGCCGGCAGAGGCTGGGGTCGTTGTTAAGCCTGTTCAAGGATTCAAGGTTCGAGGTCATAGTAGTAGCAGGGACTCTTCTAGACTCTTGTCCAGGGTCGAGTCTTGAATCACTTGCCCGGTCCTCAGAAGCCGCGCTTAGTGTTTAGTCCCTTGGCCAGTTTCGAACTGCATGAGTCATCGCCCAAAGCTCTAATGGACACGCTGCCGCTCCTGTCCAACAAATCCACGAACTGCAACAGACTCCCCACACCCCAACCCCTCGAAGCCACCCTCCTCCCCACCGCACATATCTTGTGAGTCTGAGCTGAGCTGCTCCTACTCGGGAGGCACGTCGTGGGGTCGGGAGATGTTGGGATGCTTTGAGCTTCGAATGGGCAGCTTTCGTCAGAGCCAAGCCGCCAATCATGCTTAGCAAGCTTGGTCGCACGGTGCATGAAGCGCAGCCTGTCGGTGCATAGCCTGCCATCATGGAACATGAAAGTTGACGCACGTGACAATTTGCAGCTTGGGAAGATTTGAATGTGGTCAGTTCTGCACGGGCAAGAGCGTTGCAACGCAAAACTTCCAGCACGTCTCACCCTGCGTTTGGGTATATACCTAAAAGCCTTTGCGGCCATAGCCACAGCTGTAGCTGCCATGGATACTGCACCGACTCTGCCGCCTTTCAGCCGCAGAGATTTCAGACAGAGTCACAGCCAGGTTGGTTGTATTCAAAGAAGCGACAGCACGTAGTTGGTCACCCCGAGCAATCATGCACCATGCCTTGGTAAGAGCAGGAAAACATCCAGCAGCAAGCCTTGCATTGGTCAAGACAGCTCTTTTGCTTCACAGGCAGTGCGCCCTCGTTCGGCCTTTTTCGGCGCACCGTCCCGACACTTCCCATGTAGATTTATCCAAGAACTAAGCGTCCCGAACACAAAGGAAGGTTGGCTTGCATGGGCTCTTGCCCTCCACGCTGTGCCCCCGGCGTGTGATCCGGCCAGAGGCCAAACAGAGCAGGGGTTTGCGAGCCTGTCATTGCTGTCATATATATATATATATATATATGGTACCCCCCCATGTATCTACCGTTTGTCTCTTCCTCTGCTTCAGGTCACATTGCTAATATATATATATATATATGTATAACCTTATATCCTATATATTATGATACATATATGTGTTATATCTTGTAGCTTATATATTGCACTATATATATATATACACATGTTAAAATGCATATGGATTCGAATACTGTGAACTGTATATGAATTAGAAGTTATTTTCCAATTCTATAATTAGATATTATATTACACTATATCTTACATATTACACATTATTTATTACATGCACTATGCTATGTATGAGAAGCTATAAAGGATACATATACATACATACATATATACATATACAGTGTGCATATATATATATATGGATCTATCATATATTATATATTGGTCTTAGTTCCGGTGGAAAGATTGGAATGGTTGGTCTCACTTGTTTCCTTGGTCGATCACCTGTGCCGTGGAGAGTAGTGTTTCCACGGGTACCGACGTGCAGTTGAGATTTCGGAAGACAAGTGGCCGCTTCCAGCTTTTTTCAGTTGCTACTCGTAGGCCGTGCCAGGTTGCGACAAGGGGTGCTGAACCGACAACATGTTGTGGGCAGCTATTTGCAACAGCTCCATGCAAGCTTTTGGCTTTTGGGAATAGCAACTAACTTGCATTTTGTCACCTCCGTGACAGCAGTGACGTTTAGAAGCGGGGTTAGACATGTGGTTCGAACGATCTTGCGACATCCTGCTGCAAGGCCTACGGCCGTGGCTGGCGGCAGCTGGCTTGGTGTCGCCCCATCCAGTGCCAGGAGTCAGCAGAAGTTTTCAGATCAAACTGCGCGGCAGGATGCAATACTTAGAGCGCGCAGTGGTCCTGATTGCTCTTACTGGTAAAATAGCCCCTTTTCGTCGTGTAAGTAGCTGGAACAGGGACTAAATCTGGCTCAGTTGGAACCTTAATGCCAACAGGTTTCTTTTCGAAGGCCGATGTGCAGTGTCGCAGCCTTTGGCAACCTGTGGTCACGAGTAGTCGAAGCGATCCCTGAGCATCCTTAGCATGAACCCTCGATTTGACTCCCAGCCTCAAACAAGCATTGCAGACTGGAGCCCTGTCCACTTGTTGTTTCAATTCCTCGGCTTAACACCACTTAATCAAGCGATTCAGCGTTAGCTGAGTGGTAAACTTTCCACTTACAGCTGCGTCCGCGGCTCTACGATTGTCATAAGGAGGGGCTCTTACAAATCCGAATGGCTCTGCTTTGCGATAGTTTCTCCCTATACAAATCCGAACGGCTCTACTTTGCGATAGTAGCTCCCTACATCTACTCTTGGGTTTTTGTTCGTGCACACCTTGAGTGAAGCGGGAGGACGGTTGCTACCGGCAGCTTGATGCGACCGAGACCCAGCGAAGCTCTCAACATCACGCTGAGGACAGAGCGGCCCAGGTTTAGGATATGTAGATCTACAGAGTCCCCAGTTGACCCGGCGCACGACGAGCGAAGCTAGAAGATGTGACTTGGGTTGAACCGACTATGGGCCGGTGAAAGCACACAAAAATTTAGGTCGTAGGTTAAGACTTACTTAAGATATATAGTATTATTATACACCAGTCGCATGTGCACATTCTCAGGCCATCCCCTCCCCTCCCCTGCAAGACATGCTAACATACAGAGACACATAGACAGACCGACTGACAGACAGGTTTAAATGCATGCCTGCGTGCATGCATTGCTACCTACCTACGCGCACGATACATAATATGCAAATGCAGGCAGCCATGGATAGATACACATGTACCTACATGTACAAATGGGCAGTCCGTCCATTCAAACCGTATTACAAAGCAGTCTTACCAGTTGGACAGTTGGAGCAGCAATAAGCACTTCTGGGAGCAGCAACCACACTTGCGTCAGCAGTGGTAGAAAGCAGTCGCTTCGGGGGAGCAACCTGCAAGAGAGGACTCCGCCAGCAAAGACGCCAAGGCAAGTCCACGTGGCATCCTATTATAACAGCAAGTGGTACATTATGATACGAAGTAAGTATACTATTCCTTAGTCTTCCAGCAAAGCTGACATACAGCACTAGAGGCTGTGGATGCTGAGCGAGGTGGCTCCCGACGCAGCTAAAGTCTAAAGCTAGTTAGTCAACGGCTGTCTTCCGTCAAATCCCAGCAGCAGCAAGGTAGAACTTATGGAATCAACAGCAGCAGCAGCAGCAACACCAGCACCCAGACTGACAGCGACGGCGACAGCAACCACAACGATAAGAACATCCCAGCCGCGCCGCAACGAAGGTGGCAGCAGCAGCAGCAGCAGCAGCAGCTTCAACCACCAACACCACCGCTGCTACCATCACCGGCTGAAGCTAGAGTGTCTTGCGCTAGTGGACTCACGAGTGGTTCGAGTAGAAGTCCGTATCAGTTGCTGTACAGCACTTCCGTCGGCCTGTGATGCACCTGACAGCCTCCTCAGGTCTTGAGCACGACCAGGTACATTCCCTACCTGGCCAGGGCGAAGCAGCTGCTCATCAGTTCCACGCGATACCCGGATGCTTTAAGACCAGCATTGGTCCACCGCAGATGCACGTCTTGGGCTGTGGGCTGTGGGGTTGAGTTCCTGGAACGGCTATAAGGGGCGGGTGTCAGGTTCTCATGGTGGGAGTCTTGCGTTCTTCTTGCTTGGGACTTCAAACACAAGCCTATCGGAGTTTGATCCGGAGGATGCCGAGAATTGTGCATGGCTGCATGCGTTGTCTGAGAGGCGGCGAGAACGGCGAATTGCCCACTTGCAACGCAGCCGAGGATACATCGCTTACTCGAGTGACGTCGGGGAGTCCCTCCGACCAGTCCTGAAGCTGCGAGCTCGGCAGTGAGCATGCAACTGTCGAGGAAACCAGCTCCACATATCCAGCAATCATGACTGAGAATCTTTTCTCGTGCCGGCAGTGGAAAACATTCTCCAATGTTTGAAGAGCATGTAAGAGAAAAACCATGCACTAAAGAGGAGGATTCCGATCTGGAGGCCCCTTTTGTTTTGTACGTCTGAGGCGATGGCAGGTCAATCTCAGCTATGGCATCGCCGGGGCCTACGTGCTTGGTGCTTGGGTTGCATCCACGGAGCTTCATTGATGCAAGCGGGTTGTTGTGTTCCAGCTTTTCAGGCTTAGACCTGCTTGCAAGATTTTCGTGCAAAGTTGAGTTGGCGCAGGTGAGACAGCCCCTCGGCCGCTCTCATCGACCTTCGGCCGTCTGCGGATGTTCATGATTTGCTTCAGCGTGAGGGTTTGGATTGCGCTGCGTCGTGCCCGAGGCTGTAGGGAGTGGTGTGAGAACAGGACGTCCGAGAGGTTTGAACTTGTGCGCCTGCATCCATGTACCTGAGGCTGTGGCAGGATACCGCAAAAAAGCGGCTCGGTGAGACATCGGGCAGTGTTCATCAGACATCAAGTTGTGTGGGCTGTGAGCCGAACTCGCATTCCAAGGAGCAAGACTGCAACAACAAGGCGCGGTGCGTCTTCATTGAAGTGTCTCTATTCAAAAAATCATGCATTTAGGATGTGTTTTCCTCCTTCCCCTATGGCCCCCAGGACATGCCGATGCTTCACAGTTCCCTCGAATCCGACCCTGCCAGAAAGTCTCGCAGGTGGTGGCTGCAGCTTGTGCCCACACCGCCTTGTTCCAATTCGCCGCATCACTAGCGTTGCCTGCAGTCTCCCGGCAATGCCAGTCCAATCAAGAGCTTCACAGTAAGGATCCAACGATGGAGTTTTTCTATATGAATGCTTATCGAATCTTATAGGCTCCATTTGCCAAACAGTAAGTCCACTTTTTGGGTCCTGGTGCCGCCAACAGAAGGCTTCAAGCACACGAATGTTTATAATATTTGTTTATCCAGGGAAGTGCGCAGCGCGATCGGAGTGATTGTTCCAATTCCACGGAGAAGCTGAGGTTATCATTCACAGTGTCGTGCACCAGGCTGCTGGGGATTGACGGTCCGGTTTGCGGAAAGACTCGGTACTAGTAGCAGCTAGAGACTAGAGCGAGACCGCCGATAATTGAAGGTTTTGTTGCTTTCGGCGTGCGGCGAGATCATATGCTTGAGGAGAACCCGGGAATGAAGGAGAGCTTTGACTGGGAAGCAGGATGACTGCCAGGATACCTGGGAAGCCTCATAGCTAGTCAGCTACTCCTAAATCAACCGTATGACGCTGAATGATATCATTGCTTCCATTTCAGTGTGGCCAGAGAATCCGAAAGCTTCAGGGCACCAGGGTAGCTGACGCCTGTACAGGTGCAGCATGTCCTTGACAAGCCTCGCTTCGCGAACCGGCCGACCCTGCTCCGGCCACCCGAGCCATATCGGGTGCGGTTTTGTGGTTTCGTGTTCACTGCCAAGCCATGGATCATGCTGTTGGCATAGCTTTCGGTGTCGTGATGAGGAGGTCGAGCCATGCACGGAAGGATAAATGACTTTTGATCAGGTATGGACCCAGCGCCGTCGGCTTGAGCATCGTACCTTTCCTCCCGTTGCTCGATCCACCATGTGCCTCTTGTTATGCAAACAGCCTTTATCACGCCGTGATGACGGCTCGTTCTGCGGCGGGAGGTCGGGGCCTGCATGTGTCTAGCCGCTTGTGCATGCATCGCACACGTGATCACGTGTGTGCACAGAGATACAGCGCGCACACGGGCCCATACACACGTACATTCAGGCATACACTTAAGTACATAAATATATATATATATATATATATATATATATTACTTGCGTCTGTATGTCCGTCCGTCCCTGCGTGCGCTCAACGCATGCATACTTACAGGCTGCTTGCCAACTACAACCGCGCAGCAGACACGTTTATAGGGCGTAAAGAGAGATAGCAAGGGAGAGAATAATTACCAAAAGCAGTTTTGCTGCACGACATTCAGAATGACAAAACGGCCGCAGAAGAACTCGTGACTGGGATGCGGGATGGGAGAGTCAGCGTCTGTCCTTGATTGGCCCCGGGCCCAGGCATTAGAAAGATCAAGACTAGCTTGGTAGGAAGCCGACCTTGTCCCGAAAGCAGAACAAGGCTATGCTGGCACGCATCTACTTACACTTTTCGGGTACCGTACGTCAGGCTACAGCATGCAACGCCTGAAGAAAGCATCCCATGCACACGCTGCCCACATTGAAGCAAACGTGATTGACACATAGAGCCGCAGGAGAGTGCATCAATGTCAGGGGATAAGTGGGCTTCAGCACAGTACAACCACCGACAGGAGTTGTACCAATAGAACCATGAGGGCGACATGCCACCACCCATTAGCCTGTGATCCGCACAACAGACAACATTAGAAAGACAACAATCTGGGTCGAACGTTATGCAAGTCAGCGCAGTCGCGGGGCGTCCAGGGTTCAGTGGTGAGCCGAAACGGAGCAAAATCAGCATCGTGACCCATGGGACCGTGCGCTAGATGAGCAGGTAATTAAGCGATGTCTACCCAGATCTATCCAGGAAAAGCCACCAACAGCCACGAGACGATGCACATACCTTGACCAGAGTGTTCTGCAAAGCTTTGCGAGACACACTTGGCTTGGGCTCAGGAGAGATATAGTGATTGAAAGTACTGAAGCGTGGGTGTGCGGTCAAGTTTTGCAGTCTCACAGGTTGAAAACAGCCATGCTTGTGTTGGTGGATGGATGAGATGGGGGCTGACGTGTCAATTGTTGCGACACGTGGAACTGCCTCTCTGTCTCTCTGTGGTTTGATCATCCTAGTCTGTGGCAGTCGTTAGGAGTGGGTCATCGACTTCTTGTTCGACCGTTGGTGGCCTGGTTGGCGATCATGTGCCTGGGCATGACTGAATCTGATAAGGGAATGATGTCTACCAGTACCTGTGAATTTCGCGACGTGCATCTTGCTCGGAGCGTCCACGGGTTGGAGTCAAATCCTTTGCTTGATGGTATTTGCACGATTGTCTGAGTTTGTGCCAGACATATGCGGCCGAGCAGTTGGTGTTGTTGTTGTTTGAAGTAGAGGAATTGTGCTATCGCAGGCATTCTGGACGGATGATGCAGTGTATAAACGCAAGAGAAAAGCAGCTCCAGGGAGTTTAGGCATGTCAGACCTTTGGAGGGTCACGCCTGCGCGCGGCGCTCGTGCACCCTGAGTGTCGTCCCAATCGTGCCGACAGGTCTCTCCGTAGCGTCCTCTTTCTGCCGCTAGTCCAAGTCCGACTTGCCCCTGAACAAAACTGTGGAGAAAGCCTCTCTAAGTACCTGTCTTCTGAGCCATGGCGGCTGGTACTTCCCGTTCCTAATGAGCTCCATCCTCGGGTTAAAGCCTGTCGGGGAGCTGACCAAAGAGCATCGAATCTCGAAGCAATAGGCCCCAAACGCGTTACACCTCCCTGCAGAGTCGAAATCTGAGATGTTCGATGCCGTGCGCCAGGAGTGCTGCCGAAAAACGGGATCTCCTTGAACTTTTGGTGGCATTCTCAGTTCATTTTGATATATGTTGATGCTCAGCGAAGTTTACCAGAACCTGAAGCTTGAAGCCCTGTGTCCCGAGCGCTTTAGCCACAGTTTTCTTCTTGGGTATCGCGTGGGGATCCAGAGATAACTTCTTGAGAAAAGCACTTCATTGCAAGCTGGGCTGAACTTCGGCACTCTCTGACTTTATGACTCCTGAATGCAGCAGCAGCTGGAGCCACCCGCCGAACTCGACAGGTTCTGGGGCTGTAGATGCAGCAGTGAGCTGCGACCCTGATCAGAAGCCTGAGTTCTGGCCAGGGCTGGCATAGCGCGGTGTCAGAAATTTTCAGAGTACAGGCTTGTCGCGTGACGCGCTTTATTCTTGCACTGCACAAGGGTGTAGAGTGTCCGGTGAAGCGATGTGCAGGACCCTGTTCGAATTCTGTGAGAAGCATTGCCGATCAAGATGTTGCACCAAGTTTAAGCTTTGAGCAGGGGCCTGATGGGCGTACAGACGCGTGGTCCCCACATGTTCGCAGGCTGAAATACAATGCATTTCTTGTACAGATCACTGGTCTCTGGCAGGTCGGTGGACCCAGAGGCCCTAAAGTAGTTCCTTTTTGGGGGTTCATATATAGAATCCTATAAGGTAACCCCAAAAAGGACTACTTTAGGGCCTATGGGGAGGGTCATGTGCCCTGAATACCAGTACAGACCAGCAGGGACCCTATGTTTGGACCAACTCGGTGAAGCGCAGGCGTGCTACAAGCACAGCCACCGCTCCCGAGAGCTCTTACTGGCAACGCATCATTCGAAATCCTACCCGGCTACCAGGATTGGGACTTGCGGCTGCTCTCTAGGTTCTTTACGGCTAGTTTCGCGCCACTCATGTCCTTGCAGAAGGGAGCTGGTTTGCAGCCGGCACTTTGGCACCTTCTTCCAGGTTCTGCTGCGTGGAGCCCTTACCGATTTCTTCCGTGGGTTCCATGGGTGTCCGGAGTTAAATGCCGCCATCATCATGGTATTTCTTTGGGCGCAACGTCTTTCAACATCTTCAAAACTCGAAGCATGAACTCGGACAAACGAAGCGATACAGACAAGACACTGCCCCGCTGCCATGAAATGCCTTGCACCCGGTGCCCACATTGACTGCCGAAGACCGACGAGAACCAAGTCCCGATGCACTTGACTCTCAGCCCTTTTTCCCAAACTGCCCTGAAAGCCGGCATGCAGCAAACGCTCCCGTGGTCACAGTTGCAGTGTGATCTGCACACCAAATCCACCCACAACGACGACAATGTTGGAACCATGTCAATGGAGATCGTAGGAGCAATCCCCATGGCTTGACAAAGCTTGGAACTTAAAGCAGTCCTACTACCCCAAAATACTTTGCCCCCCCGGAAGGAAGCATAGGACGCGGACAGAAGCCCGGAAGCCGCTCTCTGCCTTCAGCAGGCTCCTACTCAGAGATGAGCCTGAAGTTAGGAGGCCGGGTGCCTGGGCCGGGCCAGGGTGTAGGGGCTAATGGCAGTAATCAAGCCCGGTTTCAAAAGAGGGGTTTAGGTTTAGGACATGCGCAACTATCGTCCACAGGGCTTTGGGCTGGGCGACGTGGGGTTTACAAAGTCGCCAAAGTTTGGGCATACAGAGCTTGATTTTTTTCGTATTGCAGTGTCGTGATGAGGAGCTTGGAGTTGGAACTTTCCTGCTTTGTCGATGTCTCAGAAGACCTGGAGAGCGACTTGTTGATTAAGCTTCAAGGGCCAGCAGACGGAGGAATTGATCCGAATAAACTAGTGTGCGTTGCTGCTGCCTTGTTCGGCAAGTGCGTGCAATAAGGGGTTTAAAGATAGAGTGAGGCAAACTGCTACAGTCGAGCAGCCAGGTGGCAGAACTCCGTTGCATATTGCATGGTGTGCCGTGAAGCATGATGCAGCGTGTGTTAATGCGGCGAGCTGCATGTGCTTGTTCGAGCTCAGCCTCTTCAGGATGTCATGCCACTTCCGCAGGCACGAAGCCTTTCTTCGATCCAGCTTATGGCCGATGGGCAAGGTTCCCGGTTCCAGTTCCCGGCTTGATGCTTGTATGTTGGGCAGGGAGTCGGACAACACAAGCCCTCAGAGTCGTCCCAGAGAGAGTGCAAGAGGAATTCAAGAACACGCTCGGCTGATCGGCTTCAGCCGCGGGCAAATGATTGATGCAGGAGGCACCAACTCAGCCCGATGTAGGGAACCAGAGGCAAGCATCAGACAACCTGGCGAAGCTGTTCATGTCTGAAAAGTATGAACAGAGGTCTTGCTTGAGCTGTGACTGTATCAGGGCTCCCGGCCCACAGTTGCAGGAGCCACTGCTACGGAGGACATCTTGCACCGTCCAGATGTTGACTCATGATACCGCCGATCACCAAAACCCCGAACCCCCTGTTTAATACTGATGATGCCATGTGGCTGGTGGAAGATTTTTGTGAGTGGAACCCACGGCCCTTCCCGGGACTGGACATCAATGTTAAACTGGGGGTGTGCTCTAAGTAGTGCCAGATTTCCGCCATCAACGGCAGGAATTGAAAGACTTGTTTTTGGGTCTTGGCTCCGGACCAAGTAAGAACTTACATCAATCGGTCGGGACTGAGTTCAATATAGATGCGTGTGTGAGTGTGCAAGTATATTTGCTTATACACATGGTCTACATACGTACATGCATACATGCATACGTAGATAAACATATATGTATGTGTGTATATGCACGTTTATGGAGTTGTTTGTTCGTACCGCCCCCCCAGTCACTCACCGCTTCCCTCACTTCCGGACTAAAAGCAGAGAGCTTCAGGCGATTGTTGGAGCAGACTTCTTTATGTCTTTATAGTCCAGTGTTGCAGTTGCAAGCATGTATTCACACATCTGCCACCCTGTATACATGCATCTGTTTAAGTGGTCAGTAGAGTTGCCTAATGTAATGCAATCTAAAGTAGTGTCATGTGGTGTTTTAGGCAGGCATACACCGTCTACTTAAAGCTCGTGTGCTGAAGCATGACATAGATAATCATGTGAATTGACAAATTGGTCATATTTCAATGTATCTATTTGCAGTGATCACATTTCTTTTTACACGATGTATGTGGAGGGAGGGAGGGAGGGAGGGAGGGAGGGAGGGAGGGAGGGGCAGGGAGGGGCAGGGGGAGGCAGGCAGGCAGGCAGGCAGGCCGTGGGCAGGCCGTGGGCAGGTGAGCAGGCGGGCAGGTATGTCGGTGTGTAATGCATGTAATGTACATACGTATTGTGTGTAGCGCATGTTTTGTAATGTACGTACTGCACGTTTGCGTGTATGTGTGTACATATGCATGGATGAATGCATGTATGCATTTGTGCTTTCATGTATGTACGCATGCATGCATGGATGCATGCATGTTGATGCATGTGTCACA